GAGTGCATCGACGATGAGCCGGCGACAGGCCGTCGAGACCCGAACCAGGCAGCTAGAGACAAGCAGAAAGAGAAGGAAATCGGAAGGCGAACAAGACAGGCTGAGGGAAACCAAGCAGAAAAAATAAAAAAGAAATCATACTCGCATCACACACTTACACACACACACACATGAGACATACGCGTGAAGAGAACACAGAAACACACACATGTTCACACATTCACATCTACACTCGCATTAACGAATAGAAGAAAAAACAATGATAGTCTACTGTGCTGCATACATATTTAAATTTAACGGAGCATTAAAATAAGCATGGGTGTGCATCTTAGATGTATTAGAGGACCTCACTTTCACCACACACACGCGCGTTTTTTAGTATTAATTATTATAAGAGGGAAAACGCGTTATACATAGTGCGCGCCGGCGACTACGAATGCGAGAGGGTGGAGGGAGAGGAAATAAAGCAGGAGGAGGAGGACAAGGAGGAAGAATGGGAGGAGAAGGGGACCGAAGCGCCGATTAGTTTGACCGAGGTGTCGAGGGATGGTGCGAGGGTGACACACACGCGACGATCAGGATACCGATCTTCCATAGCTGTAGCTTTTACGTTTATTTTACGGTATACACGTGCGCGAACGCGCGTTACGCGTCCTCGAAGAGACATCCTTTGTGTAATTGTGTGTCCTTCTTCTTTTTTCGTTAATAGGCGATCTCGACCCAAAAATGAATCTCGGAAGAATCCAGTCCGAAGAATCCGTTAATCGCGGATTCGATGGATCTGGAGAGTGTCAGGTTGGTGCAGAAGGTTTGTCAAGTAAAACAGAAAACGCGATTCAATCTCGTAGGATTAATCACTGCGAAAATGAGCAACGTCGGCTCGGTGTTCTTCAAACATCCGACGAGAACTTCCTGATAGAGAAGAAAGCAGAGGAGGATTTCTCTGTGTGAATTTTATAGAAAAGTGACAAATATCTTGCACCAATATAATATATCAGAGTATGTGTCAAAGGATTTATTAACTTCCGCAGAATTCCAAAAACCCCCGGACGAAGGGGTACGTTTGAACGGAAGAGAGAGCACGCGATTTCGCGAGAGCTCGTAGAAATTATTGAATCAGTGCAAAGGATTTCTCGTGTTTACCGATCAAAGTAGAAAACGATGCAAGATAAATAGAAAATTACCCAATTTCGGGGGAGGGGGAATTAATAATCATGACGAATAGAATGAACAATGTCTCTACTTTTTAGACATCCAACTTTCTAATTTGGAAGGCAAAAGATGCAGAATTTTCTATGGGACTTTAGTAGAAAAGTACGAGAATTTGGTCGGAAAGTGACAAACATTTTGCACCAATATAATATCCGAAGCTACGTCCGAATCGGGACGCAGAAGGAGATCGCGAGGAAACTCTCCCCTTTCTCCCTCCCTTTTCTTTTCCCTATCCTTCACATTCGTCGGACGCGTAACGCTCGTCGGCGCGGACGATGATTTCGCGCGCGCTTTAGTTCACGGTAAGTTGTACAGTCATGCGTTTCGCAGTAGCCGTATTGTTGTACAGTAGCGAGTACATATCGTAGGACGACGCACTGTTAGAGCGAAAGGGGGAGGGGGAGGCACCGCACCGTGTCCTGATTGCCGATGTGTCGCAATTAAGACGCCCGCGGCCGGTCGCTCGACACCGAGCGTCACCGGTCGAATAAGCGATCGACCGATCGATCGATCGATCGATCGATCGATCTATTACCGTCACTGTTATCGACTTCCATGCGCGTGTGTGAGTGTGCAAGTGTGCGCGTGAATGTGCAGAGCGCGCGCGTGGCGGCGGAATTATCGGCGCTAATTTCGCGTCCCTGACAACGGAGGACGCAGCGAAGTCCTCTCTCTTCCCTCCCTCTGTATCTCTCTCTTACTCACCCTCCACTCACCGATCGCACTCCAACTCGCTGGCTCTGTGTCTCTTTGACGAGGGAGGACTCGCGCGAGCGATTCGCTCTCCCTCTTCTCTCACCCCCTCTAGTAAGACTCGCTAGGGGCTCGGAGATCATCGTTCATTTGTTCACTCGTGTGTTTTCTTCACCGCCACACGCGAAATTCACGGCGAACCACCACGAGCAAGTACTAGCGGACGTAGAGGTATACCTTGATTACTTCTCTTTCCTTTTCTACGACGAGATTCACGAGAAAGGATATTGTCATCGTTTCATCGTTTTATCGTTGTATTATGTATTATTTATACCGAAAGAGCACATATATGTACATGTATATATATATACACACATATATATACACATATATATATGTATACATACAATAATAATTATAATAAAGATCGACTAGTGTATTTCGAACCCGACTGACAGCAATTAAAGAATTCAATTGCGCCGACGTGCGTGTGTGTGCTTTTTTATCCTCCCTGCCTACCCTCTCTCTTTCTCTTTTCTCTCTCCCATCCTTCTTTTTCTCTGCCATTTCCTCTTCCCGATTTTCTATGATATTTATTGCCCAACGAGAAATATAGAATCGTTCGTGCAAAATGTCTCAGCGGAAAGTATTTTACTATTCTATTTCTTTGGACGTACATTCTAGTTATATTTTTACAAAAAGGTACCGGCTTCGCGTCTCTTTTCACGCCCCTCCGAGTTTCTCCCGCCCGTTGCTTCACCGACGATGTTTTCGATCGAACAGGAAACTTAATATCTCGAAAAATTAACATTCTAGTGTATTTTAGGGTCGCCACGGCGAGCGACACGAGAGAGGCAGATTCGCGGCGTTTTCCGAAGGGCCTCTCGTCGTTAGAAGGAAACCCAAAAAACAAAAAGAAAGATAAAAGAAAGGGCAAAACCGCCTGAAAAAGAATTCGTCAAAGGACTGTATGTTTAAATGATTAAGGCCCCGTCACGGAAATATGTATTTTCGTATGAAATCGACGGAGAGAGAAAGAGCGAAGGGAACACACGCGGACGTTTAAAGGATTAACGGCGTAATCGCATTTTTGACTTTCGTCCCGCCGATTGCGATTTTATTGCGTCCCGGGGTGCAGCGAGCGCGGTGCCCTCGTTGCCGATAACGAGATTCGCGAGTCGCTCGTTTCGCGCGGCGCGCACTTTTTGCAGGCCCCTCGGCCAGCGTGCAAAGAACGGCGACGATGGTGGAGGAGGAGAGAGAGAGGAGGAGAGAAGGAAGGACAAAAAGAAGAGCGGGAACCCCGAGAGAAAAAGAGAAAGAGAGATACGTGTATGTATATATATATATATATATATATATATATATATATATATACAAGGGCGCGTCAACGCATGCGGGGGTGGTGGTTCACGCGCGGATTCGGTCGTCCTGGTAAGAGAGAAAATCGCGGGGGCGGAAGGGGACTGGACGGGATGGTGGGAAACCGAGTTCGGCGGTGGCGGCGGCGGGGCCAATTGTTAATTAAGACGGCGGATTGCCGTGCGGATTGACAATTTGCAATTGTAAAATCCGTTCTCCTCGTGTAATCTCGTCCGTCTCCCGCGTCGCCCGGACGCTCGCTCACTCGCTCGCTCGCTCGCTCGTTTCCAATCGCATGGAAATTGTTTCGCCCGTGGAGTTTTCCACGTGCCGCGGGAAAACGAATTTCGAAGAAAAGTTTCAGCGGGGCGACCGAACGGACGGTCGGTCGGACGAGCAAGTGGACCCCCCCCCCTCCTCCGCGTCGGGGGTGTCCCGTAGAAAAGGCGGAAAGCTTGCTCGGGCAGTTGGACGCGCGCAAGCTGAAAAAAGGAGAAAAAAACGAGGTCGTCTGTGTTTGAGGCTGAATCGGGGATGTCGTGATAACAATGCAAATGCGAGTCGACAAATAACGGTATGTAACAATAATTGGCCTGATAATACGAATAGAATAATAATGATAATAATGATAGTAATAACAGCAACGCGGATCGTAGTGATTTGTTTTAAATGTAATACGACCGCCGGGAAATGCGCTTTGCACGGTTTCGCGTTATTTACTCTCGCTTTGTAGAAAAAATCGATTAATATTTATAGCCGCGTCCTAAGTATATACACTGTCCAAATGACCACAAAATAGCCGGGTTAATGTCGTTCTCTCTCAAGAGACGTCTTTCTCCTCTCTTCTTTTCTCTCTGTCTCTTTCTCTCTTCCCTCCTCTCTCTCTCTCTCTCTCTCTCTCTCTCTCGTCTTTTTTAAGGAAAATATAAATATTTTCCTACGCAGTTTCTTCCGAGGAATGGGGGCTCTGTGTCGTTTGCGCGGGGAGGGAGGTGTCGAGAAATAATCTGAAGTAGGTCGATCGTATTTTAAGTCGACCAAGTGTATACACCTCGGTGAACAGGGCCAGCTGCACCCCGAGATAAGAAGCATCGCCCACGTCACGTTCCCCATGGAACGAGCGCGTCGTTTACCCCCCACAATTCCTGCGACTTAAACTCTCGTTCTCTTATTTTTCACGCGGATCGCTCAGTCGACCGGACGCTGGCGATTATCAAATTACGTCGCAGAGTGAGGAATGGAGCCATTCTATTACCTCGACATTGTCGATATTTTCTCACTCATCTTCTTTCCTACATGTTTTTTCTTTACTTTCGTACACACGATAGCGATTCTGCTCTTAAAGTGACGACAGTGCTGCGATTTCCGAGATTTGGAATTCGCTTCTCGGAGGTACCATTCGGCTTTTTCATCCCACCGACGCGCACGAGAGAGTCTCGAAAGGATTCCGGGATTTTCCGCGCACGCACGAGAGGATGGGACGAAGCGAAGAGCTGGTTTAAACGCTCGCGAAATAACCCGTCCGACAGCGTCGCGACGGACGGCTCGTATCGCTTTAAACAGATTCGATCGAAACCAATCGGTGGCTCGTTCCCGCTCGCGGCCCGGTTCTCGTTTCACAGCCGCGTGAACAAATCACTCGTTCCACCCCCGTGCGCGAATGCGAGAGGGGAGATCCTTGGCTCGCTGGAGCAGCAGGTAAGGATCCTCTCGCAGTTTCACGCCAGCCATCAGGACCATCAGTGCTACCGCACGCCATCCGTAATAATCGTAATCTTAACCGTTCGCAAATTCGGCCAATTCCGTTTTATTTTATTTCCCGAAATATACCGCGCTTTCAGTACCCGCCCCTGCTTCTCTCCATTTCCAGGAAGTGACAGCCAGAGTTGGCTGCTATTCGATTATTCAAATCTTGAAAGATTAAGTTACTAAAAATATCTTAAATATAATTAATTAAAAATTAATTAAAGTTTTAATCGTTCGCGCGCGCGCAAACTCGACGAGAGAACAATTTCGCCTTTTATATTTCGCGAAATATCGCGTAACATCGCCTTTTCAATTCCCACCTCAACTTCTCTCGGCTTTTAGAAAGGGACTTTGAGAATTGGTTTGATATATATTATTAAAATTTTGAGAGAGAGAGAAATATTAAATTATTAATTAAATTAAATTATTAAAAAGTACCTTAAATATAAATAATTAATTAGAAATTAATTAAATCCCCGATTCCCCACGCACAAGTATCAAAATCAATTCGGTCTACGCTGCAATTTTCTTTTTTCCGTCGTTAGTATATAAACTGAAGTTCGAAGGGAGGAGGTTTACTCCGCGAGGTGAATTTTGCGAAGAAATTCGCGATGGCGAGCACGGGCGACAACGCAACCTCCATGGAATCGTCGAAAAGGTCCTTGGACCTCGCGAGGAAGGAGCTGCGGTCGTTATTGGGGAAAATGGACGAGCTGGAGCTTCCCGTTCGAGCGTGGCGGCTGCTTGGCGCGCGTTCTCGATTAAAACCGATGAAGCTACGCGCGAGGCACCTGTGGATCTTGCTGATCGCCACGTGGATGACGGTGCAGGTCGCACGGAACCGCGTGCAGACCTATCGCCATAGCAAGGTGAGAGATTTCCGATTCGCGCCTCGGGTCGATGCATTTTTCTCTTACCAAAATTTGGTAGACTCAAAACTTGACTCTTTTACGAATCGAGTCTTTTTTTTCTTCTACTCACGACTACTAATAACGAATCAGAGATCGCGGATCGTTCAGCCAAATCGCGAAAATTAATCTGTTCATTCTCCGATTATCTGAAAAATTTCCTCACATTGGTAGAGAAAATAATGAAGAAATAATGAGAAAATAATGAAAATAATGAGAAAATAAATAACTGGAAAATAGGAAAAAATACTTGTTTGATCGATACTGAAGACATTTATTTCAATCTCTTCAATCCTTTTATTTAGGTAGGAACAATTGATTCGACTTTGAAGAGCTACGATCTTAAGAAGATGTATATTTTCTCAGTGCAGAAATATGTATATTTGAATGTAAACGCAAATATGTTGTCAGTATCCATTGAAAATGAGTATTCTTTGAAGATATTTCTTCTCGCAATTATAGATTAAGGTTAATGTATCTTGTCGGGAATAAGTAGGCCAAGAGAATGCAAGAGTCTGAGATAGAAGTTAATTATTAAGAAATTAATTGAGAGGTTAATTGCGTCGCATGGGCGATGAATGGGTGTGGATCGCTTTTTCAGTGCTTGATAACGGCGCCCTCGTTTACGCAAAAAGTTTTCCGACCGCCAGAAGACTGCTCGATCTGCCAGGACGTTCAACAGGTTGACAAGCTCTCCGCCATCGATCCAACGATTTTCGAGCAACGGTACCGTGCAGCACGTAGTTATCCGCGTATCGTTAACGCCCGCTGATTTACGTACGGCGTCCCGTCGCCCGTCCTCGAAGAATCGATCGTCACCCTCCCGTGACGCCCGCGAATTTGTTCGCGCCTAATTAATTTTCCAATGTGTGATCCACAGCTCGGACGCCGCTTACAAAGTTGCATCTGTGCTTTATTTGCAATTGATTAATTAATTAATTTGTCCGCGACGCCGTGCTAAAATTTCTCGAAGGGTCGCCGCGACCAACAAAAATTTGTCTATTCGATATATCTGCACATTAAGGGTCTTGATTAATATTATCACGTCATTAAGAGGATTGGAGGGTCAGATTGCCTGAAAATCGTGCTTGTTCTTTCACAATTTTTTATGACAAACTGAGTGAATATGCGAAAGTGTTATTTTGACGTGTATTTATACAACATATAAAGAGAAGAAAAATATAATTTTGATGATCAAATACTCAATATAAATGTATGATACATGCAGTTAAAATATATTTCGTTTTTCTTCTCAAGGTCGTTATTTTGCAATAATATCTTGTCTTTAGTGATTCAATTAAACTGAATTTGTGAACCACTATAATAGAAATTGAGTAAAAGTTAACAAAATTGCAAATATCTTAATGGAATATCATTAAATTTTCAGTTCTTTTATAGTAAAAAAATTAATATTTCAAAATTAAATATTTTCACGAGTTTGTAAACGATAACGACAAGCTTATGGAAATTTTCACACGATAACGACAAGCTTATGGAAATTTTCCACCTAAAAGCTTAATTGAACCATCGAAAGTCAAGATGTTACTGCAAAATGATGATCTTGAAAAGAAAAACGAAATATATTTTAACTGCATATACCATACACTTATATTAAATATTTGATTATCAAAATTACATTTTTCTTCTCTTTATATGTTGTATGTTGTATAATATACGTCAAAATAATACTTTCGTATATTCATTCAGTTTGTCATATAAAGTTGCGAAAGAGTAAGCACGATTTTCAGGCAATTTGACCCTCCAGTCCCTTTAATTGTGACGCACTCGGTTCGTGGTTACGCGTATCTTCGCGATCAATCACGGCAAGAATAGTTCCTCCGTGTTCACGAGTCGCTTCATTTGCAAACAGCTACGCGTATTCCGGCAAGCCGGTAGTGATAACGGACGCGATGATGAACTGGACCGCGCCTAAGGTGTTCTCCTTCTCGTTTCTCAAGACTCTCTATCACGGCGAGGACGCCAACTGCCAGTTCTTTCCGTATAAGACGGAATTTCACAGCCTGCAGGACGTCTTCGACATGAATGACAGTCGAGCCACGATGGAGAAGGGCACGAAGCCTTGGTATGTCGGATGGTAAGCAACTTACAATCGCGTTTTACCCATTAAAATAATTATTTTATAGGCATTTTTAATCGAGGAATCCATTTATTATTATGTATTATCTTTTGGTTCGTTTGATCTGGTTGGTTGCGAAGGGCTTTTCGTGTCAAATAAAGCAGAAAACAAAATTATCTAATTTCGAAGAATCAACAATTTTATGAATAAAATATCTATATATTCGATAGGGTTTTAGAAATCTAACTTTCTTTGTATATATCCTTTTAATATCCGTTACTTCGTACGAAAATTTGATAGAATAATAACAAATTTTTTTAACTCATCTGATATTTGATTTTTACAGACAGAACAGTCTCAAATCAATATTAAAACTATTTCTATATTTCCATTAAAAATGGATAATCGAGAATTAGATTATCCTCTTTCACTCTTTGGTTGGTGTAAAAGATTTGTCGTGTTGGTGAAATAAAGTGGAAAGCAGAATTATCCAATTTCGAAAGATTAATAATTTTTCTGAATAAAATGAGCAACATTTACTCAATATTTTTTTTAGAAATTTAATGAGAATTTTGTATATTTTCTTTCAATACCTAAACTTTGTGTATAAGAATTTGATAATAATAAATTTATAATAATAAATAATTAATAAATTAATAAATAATTATAAATTTATAATAATAAATTTTTTGAACTCACCTGATATTTGATTCTTAGAGACTGAGCAGTCTCAGATCAATATTAAAACTATTTCCACTAAAAATGGATAATCAAGAATTATTCTCTCTCATTCTTTGGTTGGTGCAAAATATTTGTCGTGTTGGTGAAATAAAGTGGAAAACAAAATTAACCAATTTCGAAGGATTAATAATTTTTCTGAATAAAATGAGCAACATCTACTCAATATTTTTTTTTAGAAATTTAATGAGAATTTTGTATATTTCCTTTTAATACCTAAACTTTGTGTATAAGAATTTGAATAATAACAAATTTTAAGAATTAGATAAGAATTAAGAATAAGAATTAGAATAATAACAAATTTTTTGCACTAGCCTGATATTTAATTCTTAGAGAGAGGGGGAGGAATACCTCAAGTCGGCTCATCAGAACTCTTTCTAATAAAGTAAATAACCGAGAATCAAGTGTCGAAAACATAAAAATAAAACAAGCAGTGACGGACTTGGTGGTAATCGGAAACTTAAGCACGCGGCGCATTTTCACGGCTTCCGGTGCTTCCTCGAATCACCAACGTATACGCATACAGCACGTTCCGCTAACGAGCTTACGGAGAAAAGCACTTTTGCGCGTCTAATACAGCATGGACGATCGGCGTGGTGCTCGCGGAGTCGCGACTCAAAATTATGATCGATAGCCCGGCAAAGCGTCTTGTTCTTGAAAGAAACCAGGTCGAAATGAAAAATTTTAAGGGAAGCGTTTCTTCCCCCTCTCTTCTCGAGTCGAAATTCAGATTCTACTTGAGCTCGTGAATATCGAACTTGTAGACAAAACAAGAATGTCGAGATATAGCATTTCTACACGGACCATTGCACGATTTTAATGCTACAAAGAGTGCGGCCAAGTTTAGCCCCATTTTTTGTAGGTTTGAAAATAGTCATAATTTTGATTTTTTTTTAAAGCTTATTGCGAGTAGATTCCAAATATATAAGTATCAAGATGGCGCTCCACACCGTTTCAGAGAAAAATGAGTCCAAAAGAGTCACCTCCGTAAGTGAAACTCCTCTCGGAAGTGAAACTCTTTTGGACCAAATCTACTCGCAATAAGCTTTTAGAAAATACCAAAATTATGATCATTTTCAAACTTACAAAAAATGGGGCTAAATACCTATGGCGGTTTGGTCGCATTCTTTATTCCTGTTTTCTCTACGTGGAGACTTAAAGAGATGCTGAAGTCGATGACGAACTCGAAAAATGTTGATAACGCAGAGACCATTGTCATACAATCACGCTATCCTTTTCGTATTTTTTGTGTAGAACCTCCTAAATATGTGTTACTTTGTTTTGTCATGTTCAGCGAAAAACATAATCACACACACATGTGTAGAAATCTTTCTACAAATTTTTCCGGCATTCTTAAGCCTCTGAATTCAAGTGCGAAAGTATAGCAATGTTCTTTAAAATTTTTCTGTTTCGAGTATCCACACTTTCGGTATGTACAAGCTGCAGAACTTTTTGACTAGACAAATGTTACGTTAACTGACAGTTTGAGATTTTGCATTAAAAATTTTTTTTTCGTTTTCGTATTAAGTAATGGTCCTATTTAATTTTGCGCGTTCTTCTGTCGCGTAAAAATAACTCTGTACAACCAATACGACGTGAACTTTGTAGAAAAATGTCAGCATTCCGTCGATAAAGTTTTCAGCTTCAACGTTCCCTTAAAGAGCGACTAGTCGAGAGCGTTTACCTGAGTCGAAATTTTTATTCTACATTGGCCCTGCAAATTCCATCGAACTTGAAGAGTCAATGAAGAATTCCGAGATATACAAGCTACGAACTTACCTTGATACTGCAAATGCTCGCTTGCTGTTTTCTCCGTGAAGCTCGAAGAGGCGCTCGTTCAAGGATCATTAGAATTCTTTTTATTTTTATTATTTAAATTATTTTTTACTCGCGTGTGAGGGTAATATCGGATTATCTCAATAATTTAATTTTATGATTAGACTGCGGGTCGCCCGGAACAGTCGCGATTTAACAATGAAGATTCGAGATTTGATGTTCAACACAATATTTTCGAATGAAATATAACGAATTTTACACACAGAAAAATGCATACTGCATTCAAGTAAATGTTACACTTGTTTAAAGTGTTCCATAAGTTCATGTATTCTCAAGTCTGTCATAAACATCAAATCTTTTCACAACATACACTTTGAGCACTAATAAGTTTTAATTACGAATATTTAATTAAGACAAAAATTCGTTTGCGTTTACTATATTGTGAGAAAAGAAATATTTATTAATTTTTAGATATTTTTTCTCTCAGTGTACGCAGAGTCCAATGGACATTTTCTTCTATAAAGTTTTGTAATATTCTTGTAAAAAAAAAAAACAAATTTTTCTTTTAAGTACATGATAATGAGCTGTTCTCAAATTAGTGTTGGATATGTTTTAAAAATATCATCAAGAGAATATTTTTTGAAAGTAATCATTGCTTAAAAGAAGGAAAGTAAACTGAATAATTGCTTTTCTTAGCAATAGAATATTTTTTTATGTTTAGAAATGCACGACGCGAATTTCATAATTACTCGAAACAGAAATTATACGATAATTAACAATGAGCGAAACGTGGCGTTATCATACATTAATATTAATTGGCAAATATAAACCCGCGATTGGCAATTGGTGAAATGTGACTATGTCGGAATAAAAATTATATAGATAAATTATATAGATACAATGTTAAATTATTTAATAAGGATTAGCGTAAATGGGTAAAAGACCAAGACTTAATCTCATCTCTTTGATTTTTCTTTTTTCTCTTTTTTCTTTTTTTACGGAAGTTTTGATGAGATTTGTAGCTCTTAAAAGAGCTGATATAAAGCTGGAAAAGTAAAAAACACGGTTAGACATGTGTCCAATAATGCTGTTTATCAATAGTGCTTCATTTTTAGACTTAATTTATGCAATAAAAGAAACTGACAAAACAGAGAGCAAATCAAAGCTGTTTCAACAGAATCGGACTCGCGACGAAAGAAGCATTATTAGACGTGAAAATTAGCACTTGCGACATATACATCATATAACACTAAGGCCGGTATTCACAGAGTTGTGAATTATTTGAGATCTTTGATTGAGAACATAATTAACTATAGATTCGCATTCAGGCACCGTTACCCGGCTGCTGTTTGAATCGACGTTTGTTGTACGAAATAATCTAATAAACACAGGTGTACACGTTGACGATTAATCGGAGATCAATGAAGCTACAATTACATGTCGAATGATGACAAACTGCGAATGCCGGCCTAAATTTCGACTCGGGTATTCCTTTATCCGCGGTAAGCTCGTAAAACCGAAAACTTCGCGTATAATAAATGATTTTTTGGTGTACCTTGAAAATATATGACGCACCGTTGTCCGCCTCCCGACGTACTGCGTCTTGGCTTCTCGACTCTGGCTGCTCCGTCGTGGCACTGACACTGACACTGACACACGTGTAGACGCGGTTCAATCGGAGAAACACGTGTTAAATAACACGATGCCGACGAGAGACTAACTAAGCGTCTCACAAGGCCCGATGAAATAGTCTAATCACGAGACGTAACGCGTCGACACATGGTCCGTGTTATGTATACGTCACCAGTTCGGAGCTGAATGTAAACATCTGAAAAAATAGATGACACCAAGATAATTTTCGTGAAAGCCCCAAACATTTCGATTATGTGCTCGCCTGTCAATTATTATTGATGAGCCACGACGGTTGCTCCTATTTATTTTTGCACGTATTTTCATCACGTAAAAGCATTTGTAATTCTACACAACCAATACTACTAATTAAAAAATGCAGAAAAATGTTAGTATTGCGGATGGTGAAGTTTTCAACTACAGCATCCCCTTAAGCAAAACGTTATTTATGACTGAGACAAATCCCGAGGAACAAGAGGCATCTAAAGAAACCAACGCGGTAAAAACAGACAACGCGAGATAAAAATTTCTATTCATTTGTCTAACACCGTTACGTTCGCGTGTCAGAGGCATTAACCCTCCACATGATCGTATGTTTTAAGTTATACGATACAATCCGCGCAATTTTGAACGTCATAACTGTGTAGAAATTCAATATTTTTGACCAATCTTTCCCAGAGGCATATAAAAGCTTCAGTTATAAAATTGTAACGCAATAAAAAGTTTACAAACGGATCTGTTTTGAAATTTTCCCGGATCCCTTGCTGAAATTACTGAGTAATTGAATATTTGTTCGAGTTTCACAAACCCAACACTGCGCGGGATTAAAAGACTCACAGCAGACTCTAATTTTCGACTCGGATCACTGTTAAACATAAATTTAGATCTCTCTCTCTCTCTCTCTCTCTATTATCTTAGGAGCAATTGCGATGACAAAATCGGCGCTATATTGAGACAGCATTATCAGCGACCGTATTTCCTGCCTGCCACTGCCGAAAGCGAGAAAACCGACTGGATTTTCATGGGGAGCCACGGATACGGCGCCCCGATGCATGTAAGTATCGCGAAGAGACGCGTGCGCCGCTTCCTCGGGTAATGAATTCGTCAAAATTAACATTCCACTTAGCAGGGGAAACTTACACGAAAAAAAGAATGGTTGCGTCAAGTAGAAGATGGTAAAGTATGTCATAGCTTTTATTTCTGGCTTCAGTAACCAATTCTTAATTACATTGACTTATATAATATCATACATTAGCACTGTGATTCATTACTTGAAAAAAAATGCATTTTTAGACAACAAATCGGTAGGTCAGCACAACCAAGAATTCTTAAAGCCAAAAAAAACTATACCATATTTTACTGTTTTTCTGGTTGAAACGACTATTTCATGTATCATACCGAAAAAGAGACTCCGAGCACTTGGGAGCTCTGATTTGTTAATTTAGCCCCGTTTGCATGTCATTGTAATTTCCACGAATGTGTAATTAGCGCAAACGCGATACCGAGGACACGAGCGATTTTTCTGTTCTATTTCCACGGTGTCGTTGATAAAGCATTGCGGAAAATATGAAATCTTTCGAGGTGGACGACGTGGAGCATCCCTCCTGGCAGGCGCAGATAAAGGGTGAAAAATTGTGGATTTTGGAGCCGCCGCGCGAGTGTCATTATACGTGCAAGAGGTTAGAAGTGATAGTGCAGCCCGGCGAAATAAGTGAGTCGCTCGTTCGCTCAATAAACGCCCGATAACTACCGACCGAATTAATTGCAAATAAAATCGATCGGATTAATTGCAAATAAAACCGCTCGTTTTATCTCGTATTTAGCAACGAGCACGTTTCACGGCTCGGAAGTCACGTTTGTCGCGAGGAAACACTCCGCCACGTTTTTTAAGGTAGTTGTTTCCCAACTGTGGTAGTCAAAATTAGATTTCAAATAAAAGGTTCAACAGCCGATAAATTTTTTTAAGTAAAAGTGAAAAATAGATTTTTAAACATTATTAGTTCTCTCAGAATATTAAAAATCGATAAAATAAATGAAATGATAGAAAAAGAAACAGTATGCTGAATTGCGTTGTAGTCGCGGAACTATAGATCATAGCAACGTCGCATCTCTATTAGCGTTATGCGACGCCAAACTATACAACGTTGCCACATCCGCAAAACATGGTCGCGAACGAAAAAGCAAAAGCCAAACTTATTTTTGTTGATTAATCATACTCTAATAATGTACGGTCAATTTCGCTGAGACTGAAGTATGTACTTCAGTAAGCATTCAATTAATTTTGCCCAAATTTTCGTATTAACTCTTATTGTAGGTTATTTGTAGCTGACAAATGCACATTTACGTATTAGGGTATTTATCTAATTTAGCGGCTTTATCTCCGATTTCAATGAAAGTAGGCTCAATCGACGCGTTTTTGTTAAAGAAACAACTTTTTTATTTGACAAAATCGTCGGTCTCTACTACGAAGCGAGATATTAATAGACAAAGTTGAGGGTGCGTTAGGTTAGAAAATCTGTCATACCGTCTATCTCTACTGTGTGACTGGGGGGCTTCGCCCCCCCAGACCCCCGCATCGCGGTGGGGTGGGGGCCGCAGTCTTTTGTGTTTAAGCTAAAGAGTGAATTTCTCACAAAAGACTGCGGCCCCCACCCCGCCGCGATGCGGGGGTCTGGGGGGCGAAGCCCCCCAGTCACACAGGTAGAGATAGACGGTATGACAGATTTTCTAACCTAACGCACCCTCAACTTTGTCTATTAATATCTCGCTTCGCAGTAGAGACCGACGATTTTGTCAGAGGAAAAAGTTGTTTGGCATGCAAAAACGTGTCGATTGACCATATATATATATATTGATTTTTAAGGTGAAGCCGCTAAACTGGATAATTACCCGTATTAGTTTTTATAGCGCTATGTAAGATATCGAGAAAAAGAGTAAACTATAAGCGGTAATTTCTCGGACACTATACGAACCCATATTTAATACACATACGTATTAATATCTAAATTAATTTTGCTTCAAGTTTCAAGAAAATCTATGTCTTCACTGTTTTTGACCAAACTACCTTAATGTTCAGTTCGACACGAGCAAAAAAACTGATGTCTTTCGTACTTACATGACTGCGTTACTCGATTTACTTCACAAAAGGACAATTTCACGTTCATCCGAAGCGCAACAATTTCCTTTTTCCAGTGATCCTTGTTTCAGGTCGCTACGACGTCTACAAGCGGAGTTATTGATTTTTATATCGATCCGTTCTAGATTACTCGGCGTTATCGCTGCAGCGGGCCGCGGATCCGTCACGACGCGATGCGAATGGAATGCGAAGCGCGACTGTTACCCCCACCGTCACGTTACGCAGCACGCGACGGCACGACTCGCTCTACCCCCACTCCGCGCCTCGCCCACTTACTCGCTACCGCTACGCGATCATTTAAACCGTACGCAGCGCGCAGGCGAAAGAGCGAGCGTCGAAACGCGCGGTTTTAAACGAGTATAACACGCGAATAAAACGGCGTAGCGACATGAGACAAAAAGGAGTTCGAACGCTTGAAGTTCACTCATTTGCACAAGCATGCAGAACGGCCACTTTCTTAGCTCTACTCCACGGAAAAATGTACGCTTTTAATTTCAACTAATAAATTTGTATCTCACAGTAAATACATTTTAGCTAACTCTTAGCAATGACAAGAAAACGATTAACCCTTCGGCTAAAATCGAATCAGTGAGATTTAGTTGGTGTTACCAAATCATTTCTTCGCGTGTATGTATACGTGTGTGCTTTTGTTGCAGTCGTTCTGGACACGAACAGATGGTATCATCAGACGAAAATCGTATCCAAGGATATGAGCATCACCATCGGAGCCGAGTACGATTGAAACTTACGGATTAATATAATTGTGTGCTACTCATTAATTATACCGATACTCGTTCGTTATACTGATAATAAATGTAAAATAATTCGCGCGATAAGCCGAACAACGAGTTTTTGTGTTTAAATGTACAAATGAAATAAATTGTGTAACGTAGTAAAACGCACTGTACATTCAGAGTCGAAATTTTGATTCTATATCAACCCTGCAAATTCCGTCGAACATGAAGGATTCATGAAGAATCGCGAGGTATAAATCTATTAGCCAGCAATGCGCTAATTGTATAATTTACTCAGCTATAGAGATATAGAGCTATAGAGAGATAAGCAAGTGTTAAATAATTTAATAAAGATTGATAAAGATAAGTGGGTGGAGAAACAGCAATTTTTATTCTCATAATCTCTCTTTTTATTCTCCTGACGTTGGAGAATCCCGTGGGATCTGTAACTCTTGAAAGACCTGACAAGATGCTGCGAAGATAAATGCAACAGTTATGTATCCAATAATATTGCTCGCAAATCGAGATTTAAATTTGAATTCCGTACAGTAACGAGGTCAAACAGGAATGAAATCGTAGTCACAACGTTTATTAAACGTAAAAATAAGCGCTCGCAAGACATTAGATTATCTGAAAGAGGTCGGTATTGTGAATTATTTAAAATAATGAGAAGACTGATTAATTAATAGATTCGTATTCACGTTCTGTTACTTGACTGCTTGAATCATCGTCTCTTGTACGGAATAATGTAATCAGCATGAGTGCAGGTTGACGGGTAATCAAATAATTTCAACATGAGGAAAATGGCATTATATAACCATTATCGCAGCAAGATAGGACAATAACCTGTGCTAGTTTGACAGGATTTGTATGATTAATATGGAACCAAAATTTCGACTCGGGACGTTGCTGCGATTAAACATATGATTATTATGACATTTCCATTCAATAATTAATCTATCCTGCATATCGTCGTATATTCGAAAGATAATCGTGCGTCCCTGCGTGTGCAAATGTGTGTAGAATAATAAAACGAAGTCGAATACTCTGGGAAACGTGTAACGCGCGCTACTTAAGTATTTAACATTACTAAAATACTCTACAACGCGAAATCATCTGAAGAGGAAAAAAAAGGATGAAATTATATTCGAAACAGGCATCACACTACCGACACGGCGGCGCTTTGAGCGATCTATAATTCGCGACAGATTTCGAGACAGGATTCTACTAGCGAACAGAACACTTCCAGAAACAGACCTCCAATTATAGACACGTGGGAATAGCTCGCATATCCGCACACGAGTCTCCTAACGACTTCGCGAAACCCTTCTTCCCGTTCAGACAAGATATCAAAGTTCCAAAAGAACTTTCCAAAATTCTGAGCGAGAAAAATCCAAGAGGACTTTTCAAAATTCTGTGCACGAAGTATCCAAGATCTTCCAAGATCCTTAACGTGAAGAATCCAGAAAGATTTTCAAAAATCCAAAGCCCCCGAAACAGATCGCGTCCAGAGCAGGTCGCTGAGACTTCCCCTGATTAATCCGCTCTTTCCACTCCCTCCCCCCCCCCTCCCCCGCTCCTAATTACCATTAATCGCCCGTCATTCTGGCCGCTATTAACGGCTATTGCGTCATCGAGTCGCCCATTATTTCTCAACGTCGTCCGCGTCGACTCTTCTACTTGACCGCGCTCGAGCTCGTCCATCCACCGTGACGCACATCCACCGGCGCGCGTCGCGTGCTGAATTTCACGGTGCCCAACATGCACACGTGTGCGTGCGTTAATCACGCGCTCGCACGTAGCCGTGGGCTCCGGGAAAGTGAAAGGGAAACGGCCCCCGGTACGGCACGGGCCCCCCTCATGCAGATGGCGAGCCGGGAGTCGCACCTGGCGGCAGGTGAGCCCCGCCGTGGGGGCTGCCTCCATTACGGACAGGGGACCCGAGGCTTCCTCAACCTCCTCACCTCCCCTCCGGCCCCTCCTGCCGCCCGTTCGCCCGTCACACAGTGACGGAAGGTCGGCCCCTATCGTTCACCGAGTCGCGCGAGCGATCATATGTTGGCCACCGGCCGACCGACGTCGGAGAACCCGACGAAACGACGGCCGATCCGCCCCGTTCACGCAGGAGTCGCGGAGTCCCGCGGGAACGTTGCCGCGGAGGTTGCACGGGACGGTGGGGCTTCTTGCGTTGTTTCTTCAGCCTGGACATGCGCGAGCTTGCCAGAATCAGAACCGGAGTGGTGTGTGATTTTCTCTTTTTCTTCTCTTCTACTTTTTATATTCCTTTTTATTTTGCTTCCTTCTTCTTTTTCCCCTTCCTTCTTGCCGAGGGTCGCGTACAAAAGTGTCTGGCCGAGTTTCAGCTGCTGTGGACACACTAGGTGAACGGGAGGGACGGGAGGGAGGAGAGAGGGAAGATGGTCGCGCGATAAATATAGAACTCGAGTGAAGCGAAAATGTAGAGCGGAGTTAGGGGTTGGTTTATCGGGGCGAACGCGCCAAGAAAATACGTACGTTCCTCTGCACAACGGAGAGAGGAAGGGTGTCGTGTCGATGTCCGCCGTTCTTGCGGGACACCCGGGAAAGCCGGAAGTCCGCGGGATTCGCGGAAACGAGTTTGACTTTTATCGACCGCGCACCGTCGCGGTGGCGATGTACAACACACATGGCCGAGCGGGGCTTAATTAATTATTGTTAATATTTAGCGATAACGTTAAATTAATCGTAATCATATTAACCGACATTAATATTAGATGTTATTAATTTAAATTACCAGTCGATTAATTATGAACCCCGTATTAATTTTGTCGAAATGGGCAAACTGCGCGCGAGAGGCACGGCAGCGCGCTTCCTCAGGAATACCACCGATGCCGTTCAGTCGGGAGTCGGGAGTGTCCCCCTCGTGTGAGAAGATATGTGGAGATTCCTCCGGGGAATCGATATCGGGGACCATAGGACGGCCGCGTGAAAGGTTAACGCACGTACTCGACGCACGCAATTAACTCAGACACGGATTTTTATTAATAATGGCGATCGATCACTTACGTATCATTAATGGGAGCCTCTCTTTCTCTCTCTCTCTCTCTCTCTCTCTCTCTCTCTCTCTCTCTCTCTCTCTCTCTCTCTCTCTGAGCGAACCGTCCGACGCGACGGTCGCGTCCCCCATGCGAAATGCAAATCGCGTTCGCGGAAAGTCAATTTGGAAAATTAATTACAAGTGCCGATTAAAAATTATGCGAATCTACGCGAGATCCAATAAGAACAAATATAGAGACGGTTCTCCCCGGCGAAATCAAATATTTCTCTTCAATCATCGAGAATGTGTAATCCCGTTCAAGAGAGGATATCTCCCCTTCCTCCCGCTCCCCCTCTCTCTCTCTTTCTCTCTGCCTGCTCCTTCCTCCCCGATAGGATTTTTTATCTGGGAAACGTTGCTTGGATTTAATTACACGTGAGTTGACAGATATCTATACTCGCGCGCGCGTATCAGTCGTATATTAGTGACAGGGATAAATAAACATTTGCGAATCACACGAGTCGGATAATGTCTTTTGATCGTGCCAGGTATATGCGGCGAAAGCCGATCTCTCTCCGGTCTTTTTTTCTCTTCCCTCCGATCGAACTTGCAGTACTTGCAAGAATCTCAAAAGCAGCTGTTAAGGGCTCTGAAAATTACGGGGAAGGAGAGAGCGGAAGGGGAGATATATATATATATATATATATATATATATATATATATATATATATATATGTATATAGAGAGAGAGAGTGAGAAAGAGAGAGGAAGGTGGGGTAAAGAAAGATACTTTGACGCGTCCGATGTATCGACGGTTCGCGTACACACGTACATACAAGTCGCTCCAGTTACGCCAACGAGCATGCCCGGTATCGTTTGCGTTAATTACGCGGAATAGCGGTATCTTCACTTTCATGTCCGACCTGACGTACGATCCGTACGAATGTTTGCAGCGGCCGGATAGCTAATATCGGCCAAGGAGAGCGAATTCACGAAATGACTATGAATATTAATGGAGAATAATTCGATCTCTCGCTGCTGATGAGCGCCTTTTAAAAGCAAATCTGGGACACAGCCGTCGTGTTTTATTCAGCTTTTATCCCCCAATAATGTCACCAAATTATCGCGCGTCGCGTCCTTCTGAGTCGAATGAAGTGGAAAAAAGAAGGAGGAGAAAAGAAGGATCGGTAATGATCACGTAATAATTAATGATTCGTGCTTTTTGCATAATCTTCGAAGCTCCTGATCTCTCCTCCTATTCGCAGCTTTGGCTCAGGTCTCACGGCCAGCTAACGCTTCGTCAGAATTGACAGCCATTGCTATTTGCGCCGTGACCGTTTGTGACAGGACGCTAAAGTGACGTGGGGTGCGACATTTGTGAAATTTGGACGAGAGAACTTTGTTTTAAATTAAGAGAACATCATTCGGAGAAGTAGTATTGATATATCTGTGTGTAACACCACGATTATGCTGCGCATATAGTCAACAGTGATTTTCAGTTGGCCGTAGTTACGCAAGAATGACCCACATGACGTACGTTTCGAGAAAAATGAAGGTGGAAATTTGACGGACGATTTCAAAAGTACGGACAGTACTAGAGTTCCTCATAATCCTTCCAAGAAGTCCTTCCAAGATTTCCTTCTCTTTCATAAGTACTTATTAACAAGCTTAAAAAAAAAACAGACAAACTGACAGAGAATAAAAACTGTTTTTTAATTAAGTTTAGCAACTCATAAGGATCTTTTTTTTTTTTATGTAGAAAGACCTATGGACTATACCTATTGGTTACCAGAATAAAAGATCGTAACTTTGTAGGCTGCACATAACTGCTGATAAATTCTGACAATTCGAAGCGTCGCAACTTTATTCGAGGGCAAACCGACTCGCGTTTTCCCGTCTACGCGAAATAACGGAGAAAAAATCTTCTTCCTCTTTTTTCCCTTTTTTATTTATGCGACAACTTCAGCGCGTTCGTACTTTCCTGCGTTATAAGCAATCATCCTCTTCCGATCATGCGGCCAAGTTTGCGGAGTCCCACATAATGCGAGCGTAATACTACGCGCGCGACGCGAGTGATGAAATAATTATAGATA